AGGGCTGGAAGCTAAAAAGCTGTTATTCAGAAATAAGAGTATTAAAGAAAGCTGGATGTGTGGCCTCATTCTAGGAGAGATTAAAAAAGAATACAAAGAAGGCAATGTTTACATTAGGGGGATAGAAGAAAGTGTGAGAAATCAATTTGTTTACAGACTCAGCAGTATATAAAAATTCTTACACCTGTATACCTTTGTACACATACATATATAATAATGTGCATGAAGTTCAGAAAGAATGGATAAGAATAGGGTAAAATGAGATTAGGAAAAAGAGTAGAGATGGTAGCTACATTTGAGCTCAGAGATACAGTTTGTGAGCTCCTGACAGCAAAAAGAAGAGGATGGAAGCAAGAACAGGTGGGGAAGAAAATGTAAGAGAAGGAAAGAACCAAGGAACCAGTCAAGGTAACATCACTTTAGGCGAAGAAAAACCACAAACAGAGATTTCTACTGGAAATGAGAAGAGGAGAAGCTGTGAATCCACACCCCAAGTTTCATGGTGCTTCCAGATTTCCAAGCAGAGGTTTTCCCCTCATGCCCTGCCTTACAACATCTGTAAAGAATGGCCTTGGGAGAAAAGTATTTCCACAAGGCAATTGCCTTATAAGTGGGCACACACCTTTGCAGCCTCTATGCTTCCATAAACACAATATGGCTTAATACATAATGCTTCAACTAAGAGAAAGAGAAACTTCAAGTGCAAACACATGGCGGAATTCTGGAAATCAGCTCGCGTACAACTGTTAAGAAGGAAGATTGCTTAAACTTAAACAAATGCCTGGAAAAAAGCATACTATCTAATATTTCAGATATCTATCAGCAATCTCTAGGCAATTCAATTGACAAAATAGATATTATTCTCCAGAAAAATATTGTAATAGATCTCAGAAATATAAAAATCACCTGAACTGATTTTTTTTTCCTTGAAAAAAATTGGGGATGGTGGTTCTTTGAAGTGAAAATATCCCTGAGGATAATATAAAATACAACATTAAAATTAAAATTAATTGTATGAGGGGAAGACAGAAAAGCAATGAGACTTTCTGATCAGTAGTAAAAATACAAGTACCTACAGCATATATAAAATACACATATATACACACATGTGTATGTGAAGAAGTAGATTTGACATCTAATTTCTAAACAAAGGCAGGTCCACATCAGAAATCATTCTCATTATATTTGCCCCATCAGACCTTGCTGGCATTTTCTATCTGGAGAATTTATTATTACACTATCATATATGCATTCTCCTTTGTTTCTTAGATACCTTACGCATGGTTGAAGAATTACTATTACCTACTCAATCAGTAATTCCTTATTTTGTTAATGATTTCAAGAAGTATTATGCATTTCTTTAGCAATCAGAAACAAAATTAATTACATTTGCTTTAATTTTTAAAAGCCTTTAAAATATTCACCATGTAATTCTTTAGGCAAAAATAAATAAATAAATAAATAAATAAATAAATAAATAAATAAATAAATAAATAATGGAGTTAAATTATGACAGCAAAGAAAGCCTGTTGCAACCCACTAAACCACCCTCCCATCCCCACTCAGCAGCAATTCCAACAGCTATTTCCTGAATCCATGCGATCCATCCACTTCTCTTTCTATAGATTGCCACAAGCAACCCACTAAACCACCCTCCCATCCCCACTCAGCAGCAATTCCAACAGCTATTTCCAAGATATCTCCTGAATCCATGCGCTCCATCCACTTCTCTTTCTACAGATTGCCACAAACCTAACCCATGTCACGTTTTCTCCAGCCAGAGCTGAGCAAAACCTGCTAACTCATCTTCCTGTTTTTTCCTCCTATTCCCTCCAAAAGTATAAATTTGAATACATATAATTTCTATGAAATATATTTTATATAGTTTTAAAATTCTTCTTCACATAGTAGTGAATGATTGTCTAAAAGTAAAAATCAGATCTTAATACGTATCTGTTCAGAAACCTGGTGGTTATCCCCTGCAGAAGTTTCTTAACCTGCTTCCATCAATAGAATTTTGGGGGTCTTCTTTTTATTTTGTATTGTCTCTATCCATTTCAGTTCCAGCTGTCAGTGTTTCTACCAATATAATAATTTTTAAGACTCTGTGGTATACCTGTGAATCACGTTGGAGTTCAAACCTTTAGATAAAATCCACTTCTAGAAACTTAAGATAAACCTTTCTCTATGTTGGCCTTCCTGGGAGATAGCTGAGGGACAGTATCATTTTTTTTTTT